GCTGCAAGTTGACCAGGATCAGAGTTAAAGCACTTCAGGCCCATGTTGCTGACTGGATTGCCTGCAGAGCAAACTGTCAGGAAGGGTGAAGGGAAAAAAAGATAAGAAATGACAAGATGCAGAAGACCAAGTCCACCAAAGAAGGAGAAAAAAAAAGTCTACCTTGAAATAAGAGAAGTTATTTGTGCTAGCTTGGAAGGAACTGTTACTCACGAATTGGCTTCTGTGGCCACAACATAAGATATTCACTCCGGAAGTGACATACAGCCTAGATGTAGTCCATCATGTTGTGAGATGCACGGATGCCTGCCTTTAAAATTAATTTTCTGTGTTTCTCTATTTAAGTGTAGTGTCTCATTTTTATTTATATATAAAAAGGAGAAAAGGTTTTGCAGTCAGTCTTAACTTGAATGTGTTGAGTTTGTAGGGAGAATACTCCATTGTAGGGAGAATTGCTCCATAGGTGAGACTGGAAAAATCTTTGCCGACGGAGACTGCTCAGCTGTTAATCCAGCACTAGCCTTCTGGTTTTGTAATTTCTGATTGCTTTTTTAAAAAATTCTTGATGTTACCAATGAACCTCCAATCAAATGGCCTGAATTGTGGTCACTGGCCTGTGCCATTATTATTCTCACACCAAGCAAGAGGACAGGGAGAACCTTTAGTTTTGTGGTTTCATTTACCTTTCTAAGTCTGGACAGGTGGAGATCAAGCCCTGCTCCAGATAGTCTCATTGAGAAAGGATCAGAATTGAGGGTCTTCATTTTGAGTTGGCATCCAGTGGGTATACTTATGACTGTAACACAACATCTCCCTTCCCCTAGCTCCTACCCCGCTGATTCCCTCACACTTTTTCTGTCCCCAGCCACCCGTCAGCATAGGCTATGGAACCCTAAAACCTAGTTGCCATTTTGGACTAATGGCTATTTCGGTCTCAAGGTGATTATCACATGTATGCAGCATTCCCTTTGTAGCCTGTTAAACCATATGGTCCTTCACATTCTGATCAAAGGGAAGACTGTGATGATATGAAAACAGTAAATTGGCACCAGGAAGTTGATGATGTATGGTGAGAAGATTAACTCAGTTGGGATGCTCAAAGTATCTTCTAACTTATCTCCTTTATTCAAGCATGTGCAGGGGAGCTAAAAAGAACAGAGTGATGTCTCTCTCCGAGAACAGTGTATTTTATAGAACTAGAAGTACAACAGATTGCTGTGCTCACATGATCCACCAATTACACAAGAGGTTAAATGAAAATTTGTCCAACCTGATTGATGTCCTGTGTCTGTTGGTCAGACACTACACATTGCCCTGGTTGCCCAGATTTGTTTGTTCCAGATATTTTGCTTCAACTTGTTCAGATATCTCGTGAGATACTTCTGGAACATATGGGACTTGAACCTCTGTCTCTTGGCTCAGAGCTAGGCACACTGCCACTATGCGACAAGAGCCCCTATTTTGTGCCTTTCATGGTCTAGATCAGCCCTTGGTCATTTTATCAACATTGCAAAGAGAAACTGGTTATTGCTGCTTCCCTGTTAATGGGATGAAAGCAAAATAAAAAAGATTCTAAGGCGACCAATTTCATGAGTTCATTCCTTCTCTCGCAGTGATCGAGAAAGGATAGATGACCATGAAAATAAAAGGCAGTATCACTGGTGAGTGACAAAAACAAATCTTGTTAGTGTGTACAGATGTGAAAGAAAGATTGGTACTTCTGCTGAACCTTTCACAAGTTCGGGATATTCTAAAGAGCTTTGCATCCGCAAAGCAATTCTGAAGTCCCCCTGTGTTGTAATAAAGAAAATGCAGCAGTCAATTTTCATACAGCAAGCTCCCCAAAACATGAAAAGATGGTATCTCCAACAATGCAACCTGATTGCAGTATCCCATCCATTTACATTGAAGTTGCAATATTTATTTATGTGCTGAAATCTGTGGACACGAACTTAAACTCCGCGTGTTGCACAAGGCAAGCGTGCTTTTGAATAAACCATAGCTGATACACAGTTCATGCTGTAAGAGAACAGCATCAGGTTCACTGGGGTGATGCTTCAGCCTGAAGAAAGGGGAGAAAATACCTGTTTGTAAGAAGGGAGTGAAGAAGAACCATAAGGAATTAGAAAGCTGGTGAACCTGTGACAATGAAACGACTTTCAAAAGATTGCCAGACTTCATTATGATTGAGATGAGAAACAATATAGGGGAGGCGATGGCCTCGCAGTATTATTGCTGGACTGTTAATCCAGAGACCCAGATAATGTTCTGGGGACCCGGGTTTGAATCCCGCAATAGCAGATGGTGGAAGTTGAATTCAATAAATATGTGGAATTAAGAATCTCATGATGACCATGAATCCATTGTCAATTGTTGGAAAAACCCATCTGGTTCACTTATGTCCTTTAGGGAAGGAAACTGCCATCTTTACCTGGTGTAGCCTACATGTGACTCCAAACCCACAGCAATGTGGTTGACTCTGAACTGCCTGCTGGGCAATTAGGGATGGGCAATAAATGCTGCCTTGTCAGCGATGCCCTCATCCCGTGAATGAATAAAAAAAAAAAATTACTCGGGGTGGTAACCTTATGGAATTCTCACAAACGACAGTGGATGCCAAGTGACAGAATATATTTGTGAAAGAGAGAGATTTTTAAACACGAAAGGTGTTGTGAGGTGTGTGGTGTGAGAATGGAGGTATGGTATTGAGATGGGGGTCAGTCAGGACTTGTATTGTTTCGTGAGCAGGCCTGACAAGTGATTGGCTAAACTGCCGAATGTTGGTCCTCATTTATCGGTTTTTGTATGCCTTTGAGATAGGAAGGTGTCAAACCCCAACTCCAGAGGCCAGAGCTTCTTGCTTGGGCCAGCAGTTTGGTGCTGTGTTGTTAGCTGTGTTCTTTGTTAAGTAAGATGTTGAACCGAGGCTCTGAATACCCTCTATCAGAATCACAGGACCGGTACAGTGCAGGAAGTATTGGCTGTCGAGGTATTTAAACTGGCTGTCAAGCTCCTGCCTTTTCCCTGTAACCCTGTATGTTTTCTTTTCTTACGTAATCGTCAGTCAGACCTTTTTGATTGCCTCAACTGACCCTGCAATCACCACAGGTTCAGATTGTAATGACTCTGTGTTTAAAAAGCTTTTTCTCACCTCACATTTGCGTATTTTGCTAAACTCTTAAATTCTCTTCCATCTGGCTCTCAATCCTCTGAAGAGCGGAAACAGTTTCTTTATATCTCCTCTGTCCAGACCCCTCATGATTTTGGAAAATAATTCTCAGATCCCCTCTGACCTTTCCTTTCCCCAAGCAGAAGAATCCCAATCTCTCCATTCCACCCTCATACTGAGGTGGCTCATCCCTGGAACCATTCTTGTAAATGTCTTCTGCACACTCTCGAATGTGTTTACATCCTTCCTAAAAAGTTGTGCCAAAACTGCAGTGGAGGTGTCACTATCAGCCGAGGTAAGTTCAGTGACTTTATACTCACTGGCTCCTGTGTTCTATATCCCTATAAATGAAGCCACAAATGGTTATGGGCGTCTCAGTGGGCACAATGTTGTGTCCTTACCTCTGAGCCAAGGACCTCTGGGTTAAATTCCTGCCTATTCAATGGGTGGGTCATAGCATCAGGTGGATTAGAAAATATCCAGAAATGGTGTATGCTTTGTTAAGCATTTATGCTGTCTTGACCTGTCCTGTCACCTTTTATTAGTTGTACACATGTGCAGCCAAGTCTCTCTGCTCCTGTATATGCTTTTGCGTTGTAACATCTATATCCTCTCTCTATGTTACTTGTATCCAAATGTGTCATCTCTCACTTTTTGACATTGGCTTCATCAGCGACCTATCCACCAAGATAAGCCAGGGCAGTTGTCCTGACACCTTGGTCACCATTGATTTGTTAAGCAAAATCACCAAAAAGAATGGCAAGATATTGTCCGCATGATATTTTGGGGATGATCTTGTGCTCTGGCCTGAAATTATGCTGATCTTGCGAACATTGATCGCGCCTAGCACAGGCCCTGTGCAAAGTAACCTGTATGCCTTGATAGTCTTTTTGATCGGTACATCCTTGCTTACTATGATCGGTCTGTACTGCTGGTAAACAAAGCTTTTCACTGTACCTCGGTACACATGACAATAAATCAATCAATCAGATTGACCGACTCACTTCACAAAGCTGATCAAAATTCAAAGGTATTGAACGAATTGTGAAGCACTCGTGCTGTTGGGGAAAAAGGCGCTTTGAAATATTAGCGGTTTTAACACACCGTTAATCGACAAACCTGATACCCAGCTTGTCGCAAAGGGAGTTGATGCAGTCTAGTTTCCCAGGTTCACCGATATCGTTGTTAGAAAAGTAAGCGGACTTTATTTAGCTTCTTGGAGTTTTTGCTCACGTTTGTTTAAATTAAAAATACGAAGAAATGATGGGACTACTTTCTAAAGCGTTAATGAAGTAACGTTTCTGAGTGGTGACATTGAACCCGGAGTGGTTGAGAGTTTTGTGAGATTTCGTAAAGGACTTTTAAAAAGAAATACACCCATTTCTTGAGTTTGGATAACTTTTAAAAACTGAGATCTTGTCTCTTTGAAGTAATTTATCTCGGTTTGCACGTTGAAGCAAACAACTGGAAAATGATGGCAGCGATTTGCGGACAGAACAGTTTGCGTGGGGTGAAAGCCACCGCAGATCCTGGGTGACCCGCCGTGTGCGTGTTTTTGCAGCTTTTTCGCGTCTCTTGCTCCAGGTTTGCAGGAATTTTTGTTTCTTTTTTTTCTGGGGGAGGGGGGGCGGGTGCTACTGAAAGATCGCGCGTCCCGAGCTGGCGGGGAGAAACCAACCCAATTTCTCCCAGTTGACAGCGTTACAGTGAGAGGCGGCTGCATCTTGGAAGATCGGAGAGATTGGTGCGAGAGCAGTGCTCCTGATCTTGGTGCTTGCAGACTGTCAATCAGAGGAAGCCGCTCAGTTTCTCCTCCCTATCTCGCGAGAGGCGCTGCACCGAGTTGTCAATCAGCCGGCGCCCGGTAGCAAGCGCTGGCTGGCTCCCTCCCTCCCTTTGCAATCTCGAGTTGCAATTTTTTCCAACATGGCCTCGACTGGAACGTGTACCCGATTCAGCGATGAATACCAGCTTTACGAGGAGCTCGGCAAGTAAGTGGCACAAGCTTCCTTCCTCCCGCCTGTGGCCAGTCTTTCTCCTGCCAACCCCCACCATCACGACCCCCTGTCTTTGCAGCAGCTTCAGAGAAACCTCCACTAACCACCCTCCTTCCCCCCCCCACCTCAAAGGGGGAAAAAAAACAAATCGCAACAGTTTATGATTTTTTTTTAATGGTTGCAAAATAACATCCTTTCTCTGCTACATTGTGTCTGTTTCTTTCCTTTTCTATCCAGAGGTGCTTTCTCAATCGTCCGCAGATGCGTGAAGCTGTCAACAGGGCAAGAATATGCAGCGAAAATCATTAACACCAAAAAGCTGTCTGCTCGAGGTTGGTAGATGAATGCTTTAATTGCAGCTCCCCTCGACATTTTCTTTGAGGAGGCTGTGGGCTACAGCGAGAATGAAGCAGCTGTCAGTCTGTATCCACCCATCTCCGCCGTCTCTCAGCTAGTGACAGCCAAGCGACGCTCAAACTCAGCCTTTCGTTTTCCTCATCTGTCGGGATTTGATTTTGTTTATGAAATGCGCGTCAGAAATGCTCCTTTAGCCCATTTTTTTCCCCCTCGGGTTTGTTTTCCTTGCCCGTTCGCGATTGAGTCACATTTTAAAAAGTGATATGCTTGGTTGTTTATTCCCTTAGATGTTTAATTTAGCACCTTAAATCGGTCACAATATTAGGCGAATGCAGGGCTTCGTGGTGGTGGGAGGTGGTCGGAGAGAGAGTCCATCTCTCATGTACAACTTGTTACTGTATCACCGCCACTTGGACACGAGTTTTTTGACTGGAGCTATTTTGACTGCAGGTTGGTTGCAGCATTTGGTTTTCGCTTTGCTCTTAGGGCCAAAGCAATTCTAAAAATGGTATGAAAAATATTGGGGGCAGAGCGTTTCAGGAAACCTTTCACACACGCACACCGAATATAATCGTGGTTCTTCATGGTTTTCGTTTAGATCTGTCATTGAAAGTACGTTGGTTATTGGTGCAGGAAGAGCTCTGTGGTGCTGCTGCGGTGCTGGGAGATTAGACAGTGCTCATTAATCAACCAGCATTTTCAAACGTTGGCTTCAAATCTCATGAATTGGGGGTGGGGGTTAGAAAGCGGAAATCTCTTGGGCGAGAAGTATGACCGTGCTCATTCATCGACCAGTTTCTCGCCGCTCGCCCAGTAGATGGATTTGTTGTTTAGCTGATCACAGAGAGATCATGTGCTCGCCATGTCTGCGTGACAGTGCAGTCTGTCTGAGGTGTCCGCCAAGATTCGCTTCATTGCTTATACAATAAGCATCGGCAAAATACGGCCCCTTTCAACCTGATTTCTGCTGCAGCCTGCGAACTTCAAACTATCAATGTCAGTCGTGGTGTTTTTGTTTTGATTGGAAAAAAGGTTTGTTCAGGTGTAAATTGGACCACGTAAAACCTAACTGTATTTCGAACTGTTCTGAGGAAGGGTCACCGGACCCGAAACGTTAACTCTGATTTTTTTTTTCTTCTTCACAGAGGCTGCCAGACCTGCTGAGCTTTTCCAGCGAATTCTGTTTTCGTTCCCAAATACCAGTTTTTGTTTTGCTTCCATTCCCTCACTTCATGCCTGTTGTCAGTACACTGCCCTGCTTCCAAAAGGCAGTTAACAACCTTCTGATAGGGCCTAAACTGGTTGTTTTGAGTCATGTGTTCAGAGCAGTATTAAGACATTGCTTTTATGCCATTCGTGTTTTTGTTGGTGACACCAGATAAAAGAAGAGGTCACAGGGGAATGGTATATACCCTATCAGCAACGTTCAATGTGTTGGACCCACTGCGAGCAGCAGTCCTATTTCAGAGCAGAATAGGTTGTACAGCACGATGGAATGATGAAGAACATTCAGTGGTCAAAACAGCTTTTAAAAAAGTTCTGTGGAAATAAAAAGATTCCCAAAGTCTTCGTTCTGCTGAGGGTTGAGTTTCTTTCTGTGTGGAATGATAAATAGTTTATCTGGCAAAAAAAAATGTTATGGTGAAGTCCAGACAGTGGAATTAAAGGTGCTTTGAAAAGGCATGAAGAGAGGTTGAAAGGTGATGGGTGAGGAAGATTCCAGACGCGTGGAGTTAAATGGGTCAGGATGTAAGCAGCGGGTACTGTGATGGAAAAGCTGGGCACCAGATTCAGATTCACAACCTGTTGATATGCCACACAGAGTACTCGAAGATGTGGTCCTCTCTGTATACATGAATAGCTATTTGAGGGAGGAGGAGATCCCTCTTTCTCTGGTGGGTTTCATCGACCTGTTGATTTTATGTACTTGTTACTTCATCACATGGACTACATTCTGCACAAGTGAGGTGCATTTTTTTTGTGCAGCTTACAATTTGACTTGGGGAATGAGGAAGTGCATGTGCTGTGCCAATTGCTATGTCAGACATTCTCTTTCTCAGACAATTATTGGGGCTTAAGGTACAATTATAATTGGTATGTAGGCAAAAGCAACACTTTGCTGTGGGATATTGAACTGTCATGTAGTTTGGTACAGATAACTTCAAAATGTCTCCACCACTATGAACAAGGGTCCACAGAAGTTCAATTTCATATGCTATTAACCAAAAACTTAACGCAATGCGCAACCTGGATTCTTGTCAAACCTCTGTTGTTGTACGTAGCACAGCTCAGGCCTATCCCCCAAAGCAGTGCTGTTCCAGTCACCCGAGCCATCTTCCATTTCATTTGGAAGCCTCCGGTAGACCGGGTCTGCAGGGACTCCATGTACGAAACTCTGGATCAGGTGTGGGAGGGGGGGAATGTGGAACATACCCAATGTTGCCCTCACCCTGATGGCCACCCAACCTCTGTGTGCGGCTGCATCAAGCTGTGCATAGACCCTTGGTGCGCAAACACCGAGTGTCAGTATGAACTGAGCTTCTACCTGTCCCTGGTGTTGCAAAGAATTGGACTGGCCTCGCTGCTGTTGTACAGCTCCACATATTGAATCATAGAATCCCTACAGTGGAAACAGGCCCTTTGGCCCAACAAGTCCACACCAACCCACAGAACATCCCACTCAGACCCATCCCTCATAACCCATTTAATCTACGCATCCCTGAACGCTACGGGCAATTTAACATGGCCAATCCACCGAGCCTGCACATCTTTGGACTGTGGGGGGGAAACCGAAACACCCAGAGGAAACCTACGCAGACACGGGGAGAACGTGCAAACTCCACACAGACAGTCGCCCGAGGGTGGAATCGAACCCGGGTCCCTGATGCTGTGAGGCAGCAATGCTAACCACTGAGCCACCGTGCCGCCCCAGTAGTTGGACCGTTCTATATCAACTGTCCTTCAACTGCAAAAAGAAACACCTTTGATGACAACTCCTTCAGGAACTGGTTAACACGTAACGTCCCTGAGGGAGGAGACGGTGGATCTTGTCGCGTGGTTCCCTGAGCAGACTGTCGGAGTCATTTGGCAGAATGCCTTGTCACCAGAACTTTGCAACAAGCATCAAGACATCACTTGGCTGGTGGTGAGAAGGGCACTACCTGTGAGATCCTTTCTGTATACCCGGTCAGCCTGTACCATTGCATGCTGCCCTCGACGTGGCTGCAGGGGGTTAAAGACTGTCACAAACCTCCTTCTGAAATGTGCCTTTGCAAAGGGAACCTGGAGGAAGATTCGAGACAACAAGGTGCAGGGCTGGATGAACACAGCAGGCCAAGCAGCATCATAGGAGCAGAGAGGCTGACGTTTCGGGCCTAGACCCTTCATCAGA